AGAAGTAAAAGGAATACAAATTGGAAAAGAAGAAGTAAAATTGTCACTGTTTGCAAATGACACGATACTACACATAGTGAATCCTAAAGATGCCGCCAGAAAACTACTAGAGCTAATCAATGAATTTGGTAAAGTTGCAGGATACAAAATTAATGCACAGAAATCTCTTGCATTCCTATACACTAACAATGAAAGGTCAGAAAGAGAAATTAAGGAAAAAATCCCATTCACCATTGCAACAAAAAGAATAAAATACGTAGGAATGAACCTACCTAAGGAGGTAAAAGACCTGCACTCAGAAAACTATAAGACACTGCTGAAAGAAATCAAAGATGATATAAACAGATGGAGGTATAAACCATGTTCTTGGATTAGGAGAATCAATATTGTGAAAATGACTATAGTACCCAAAGCAAGCTACAGATTCAATGCAATCCCTATCAAATTACCAGTGGCTTTTTCTACAGAACTAGAAAAAAAAAACTTAAAATTTGTATGGAGACACAAAAGACCCCGAATAGCCAAAGCAGTCTTGAGGGAAATTAAAAGAGCTGGAGGAATCAGACTTCCTGACTTCAGACTATACTACAAAGCTACAGTAATCAAGACTATATGGTACTGGCACTAAAACAGAAATACAGATCAATTGAACAAGATAGAAAGCCCAGAGGTAAACCTACGTACCTATGGCTAACTCATCTATGACAAAGGAGGCAAAGATATACAATGGAGAAAAGACAGTCGCTTCAGTAAGTGGTGCTGGGAAAACTGGACAACTACACGTAAAAGTATGAAATTAGAACACTCCATAACACCATACACAAAAATAAACTCAAAATGGATTAGAGATCTAAATGTTAGACCAGACACTATAAAACTCTTAGAGGAAAACATAGGCAGAACACTCTATGACATAAATCACAGCAAGATCCTTTTTGACCCACCTCCTAGAGAAGTGGAAATAAAAACAAAAGTAAACAAATGGGACCTAATGAAACTTCAAAGCTTTTGCACAGCAAAGGAAAACATAAACAAGACTAAAAGACAACCCTCAGAATGGGAGAAAATGTTTTCAAATGAAGCAAATGACAAAATATCTCCAAAATTTCAAGTAGCTCGTGTAGCTCAATATCACAAAAACAAACAACCCAATCCAAAAATGGGCAGAAGACCTAAATAGACATTTCTCCAAAGAAGGTATACAGATTGCCAACAAACACATGAAAGGATGCTGAACATCACTAATCATTAGAGAAATGCAAATCAAAACTACACTGAGGTATCACCTCCCAGCAGTCAGAATGGCAATCATCCAAAAATCTACAAACAATAAATGCTGGAGAGGCATTTACTGGAGAAAAGGGAACACTCTTGCACTGTTGCTGGGAATGTAAATTGGTATAGCCACTAGGGATAACAGTATAGAGGTTCCTTAAAAAACTAAAAATAGAAGTACCATACGACCCAGCAATCCAACTACTGGGCATTTGCCCTGAGAAAACCATAATTCAAAAAGAGTTATATACAACAATGTTCGCTGCAGCTCTACTTACAATAGCCAGGACATGGAAGCAACCTAAGTGTCCATCTACAGACGAATGAATAAAGAAGATCTGGCACATATATACAATGAAATATTACTCAGCCATAAAAAGAAACAAAACTGAGTTATTTGTAGTGAGGTGGATGGACTTAGAGTCTGTCCTACACAGTGAAGTAAGTCAGAAAGAGAAAAATAAATACCGTATGCTAACAGAGATATATGGACTCTAAAGAAAAAAAGTTTATGAAGAACCTAGGGGCAGGACAGGATTAAGGACACAGACGTGGAGAAAGGACTTGAGGACACGGGGAGGGGGAAGGGTAAGCTGGGACGAAGTGAGAGAGTGCCATGGACATATATACATTACCAAATGTAACATGGATAGCTACTGGGAAGCAGCCACATAGCACAGGGAGATCAGCTCGGTGCTTTGTGACCACCTAAAGGGGTGGGATATGGAGGGTGGGAGGGAGATGCAAGAGGGAGGGGATATGGTGATATATGTGTATGTATAATTGATTCACTTTGTTATACAGCAGAAACTAACACTCCATTGTAAAGCAATTATACTCCAATAAAGGTGTAAAAGGAAAAAAAAAAAGAAAGAAAGCCCAGAGATAAATCTACACACCTATGGTCAACTAATCTATGACAAAGTAGGCAAGACAATACAATGGAGAAAAGACAGTTTCTTCAATCAGTGGTGCTGGGAAAAATGGACAGCTACATGTAAAAGAATGAAATTAAAACACCCCCTAACACCATACACAAAAATAAATTCAAAATGGATGAGAGACCTTAATGTAAGACCGGACAGTATAAAACTCTTAGAGGAAAACATAGGAAGAATACTCTAACATAAATCACAGCAAGATCTTTTTTGATCCACCTCCTAGAGTAATGCCATAAAAAAGAAAACTAAACAAATGGGACCTAATGAAACGTAAAAGCTTTTGCAAAGCAATGGAAACTGCAAACAAGACGAAAAGACAACCCTCAGAATGGGAGAAAATATTTGCAAATGAATCAATGGACAAAGGATTAATCTCCAATATATATAAACAGCTCATGCAGCTCAATATTAAAAAAACAAACAACCCAATACAAAAATGGGCAGAAGACCTAAATAGACATTTCTTCCAATAAGACATAGAGATGGCCAAGACGCACATAAAAAGCTGCTCTACATCACTAATTATTAGAGAAATGCAAATCAAAACTACAATGGGGTATCACTTCACACCAGTTAGAACGGGCATCATCAGAAAATCTACAAACAACAAATGCTGAAGAGGGTGCGGAGAAAAGGGAACCCTCTTGCACTGTTGGTGGGAATGTAAATTGATACAACCACTATGGAGAAGAGTATGGAGGTTCCTTAAAAAACTACAAATAGAATTACCATATGATCCAGCAACCCACTACTGGGCATATACCCAGAGAAAACCATAAATCAAAAAGACACATTCACCACATTGTTCATTGCAGCACTATTTAAAATAGCCAGGTAATGGAAGCAACCTAAATGCCCACAGACAGACGAATGGATAAAGATGTGGTACATATATAAAATGGACTATTACTCAGCCATAAAAAGGAATGAAATTGGGTCATTTGTAGAGACGTCGCTGGATCTAGAGACTGTCATACAGAGTGAAGTAAGTCAGAAAGAGAAAAACAAATATCGTATATTAATGCATATATGTGGAACCTAGAAAAATGGTACAGATGAACCGGTTTGCAGAGCAGAAATAGAGACACAGATGTAGAGAACAAATGTATGGACACCAAGAGGGGAAAGCCGTGGGGGGCTGGTGGTGGGAGGAGTTGGGAGATTGGGATTGACATGTATACATTTATATGTATAAAATAGATAACCAATAAGAACCTGCTGTATAAAAAATAAATAAAATAAAATAAAATGAAAAATAAATTTTTTTTAAAAACGGAAAAAAGTTATTCCCTTCACATACATGTATTTATATGAATGAATTATTTCCAGGCTTATATCTATAAATACAAAAAAAGAGGAATAAAATCTACCTTGAACCAAAAAAGAAAAAAATAAACAGAACCCACCAGTTATACAGAGGAAAACCCTATCAGGGCACTTGCTCCAGCGGTAAACAATTCTGAAGTTGGTCAGAGGTGGGGAATCGTCTCGCATGCAGCCAGCAGCCCCCCCGCAAGGAGCGTCCTCATTGCAAAGCTGGGGGACCATGCCAAGGCATCTGTGAGAAAACGTGAGCTGAGCCCCAGGCCAGCTGCTGCTGAACTGTTCCCACCCTTCCCAGGTAAAACACCTGAATATGTACAAGGACGTGAAAGCCTAGAGGAAGGGCCGTGGAGCCACCCCAGCGACAGCACACTGGCCGACTTGGTGCCTGCAGGCCAGCCAGGATTGTCCTGGCCCCGGGCGCTCTTCTGGAAGCTTTCCATTTCCCTGCCTGAGATATCCCTCCTGTCCAGGCCCCCACTGCTTTTTTCCTTCCTCACCTCTGCCCGGGGAGAAATTCCAGCGGCAGTTACGGGTGACACATCCTCTTCTTTAGCAGGTGGCAGCCCGGCAACTCCTGCAGAAAGTCCAGCAGAGCCCACTCACACAGGGCCACCCACAAAGCCGTGGCCCCTCACTCCCTCCCAGCAGCCCAGCCCCGACACTGCTGACGGGGCAGAGAATATGGCGTCAGGCACAGCTGCAGCGGCTCTTGCTCCCTGGAGCGGTGTTTATATTGACCTCAACCCAGGCACACCTGGGGAGGGCTGGCCCGCACACGGTCAGGCTGCCCAGGTCAGCCAATCCTCACCCCTCAGGGGCTCATAGCTGCAGAAAATGGGCCTTGCGGCACCTGCCAGGTCCAAGGAACAGGTGTGGGCTCCTGAGTCAGGATAGACAAGGGGCTGCAGCTCTGGCTTGTTTTCTAATCATTTTATCTGGCCCATGAGTGGGAGACAACTTCAAGGAGGCCCTCTCCTAATGAGAGGAACCCAGGAGTCAGGGAGAGGAGGGGTGGTGGGTGGAGACAGGGCCTGGTGCCCCAGCTGCAGTGGAAGTCTCTGGAACACCAGGCGGAGGGAGGCCACACAGAGTGAAGCCCAGGGTCACAGACCTGTCGGAGCTGCTGTTTGTTAGTTCAAGTCCTGCTCTGAGATGCTCTGTGTCAGCTCTGACCGACAGGTGGGCTGGAGGTGCTCTGCAATGAGGGCTACGTGCACGGTTCCTGTGTGTCCAGCCCTGCCAGGGTACCTGCCCAGGGGAGCTCCGTATCCTGGGAGGGGTTGGACCATGAGAGCCCCGGGGGCTGCTGGGTGCCGGCCCAGGTGAGCTCCATATCCTGGGAGGGGCCTGGTCACGAGAGCCCCGTGTGCTGCGAGGGGGGCGTGTGTATGAGCGTCATCTCTGTGCAGCCGGCACAGAGTTGCTTAGCAACTTCCCTGTGGGCAGCGCTGGGATGAGATGAGAACCGGGAGATGCCACGGGCCCCCTGAACCCCTGTCCATCTAGAGTGATGGGGTGAGTAGGCGGGTGCTGGCCACTGGGCTGCGTGAGGGAGGCCCCACGGGTACCTCTTGTGTCTTCCACCTGACACCACGGAGGCCTCCCCAGGACAGAGCAGACAGCCTGCCTGGGGCAGGTGGGAGCTCCTCGTGACCCTGCAGGGGACATGAGAGGGACGGAGCAGGCAGGAGGGGGTGGGAGCCCAGGCAGAGCCATGGGGCTCGGGGCCGAGGGGGCCTTTCTGGGTCTGAGCTGGGAGTGGATGTGCAGGTGGTGCGTGTGATCCAGGAAAGCTGCCCTGGTGACGTGAGGCTGAACGTGCTTCAGTGACAAGCTTCCGGGTGATCCCAGAACAGGAGAGTGAGACGGATCCTGTTAGAAAAAGGTAAGTGAATCCCCCCAAGAGGAGGCTCTGTGAGCTGGCCCGGGGAGGGGCTGAAGGGAACAGGCGTGGAAGCTGTGGGGAGTGGGCAGTCTCCCTGGGCGGGCGGCGGGTGCAGACCACACTCCGTGGTCCCACAGCTGTGCTTCTGGCTGGATTACTTGGCTTCTCGGAGCCTCAGCTTCCCGGTCTGTTCGTGGGGTGATGGTAGCATGGACTGACTAGTAATTTGCTCAGAACAGGGTAGGAAGGGGCCTAGTGGAAATTCCACAGAACACCGTCAGTATGGGAATCGCAGGCCCTGTTTCCCGCAGGTCTGTCTTCAGGATCGGGAGAGGAAATCCAAGCAGACTTGCAGCAGAGCCTGGGGACGGGCTCTGTTTGGTGGGTCACCCTGTTTCCTGAGTCTCGAAAGGAGCAGCTCCAGCGGGCAGTGGCAGCTTCATCCCACACCTGGGAGCATCCAGACCTCGAGGCCCAGCAGCCCTGAGCCCTGTGTCTGGGCCCCCGGGAGGCAGGTGGGACAGGCCGCCATCCCCCTCGGCCCTCTTCCTGCCCAGAACATTCGGGGTCCGGGCCATCATTAGGGAGAAGCAGGGATGGGGGTGTCCCATGTGGGAACAGGACACGGAGCAGCTTGTGCACGTGGACGTCCACACCGGGAATGTGGGTCGGTGGGACGCAGGCACCGGGAGGGGCAGGTGGTGGGTCTGAGGAAGCAGGGCGGGACCGGGGGTCCTGGGGGGTGGGTGCGAGCTTCGCCTGTGCCGGGCCTCAGACTCCACGGGGCTTCCCTCCCCTGGTCACTGGGGAGGAGGGGCCGAGCATCGTTGGTGGAGGGACCCCTCGCGTCCCCAGGCCCTGGCAGCATCAGCCCTCCAGGCTCTGGGTCGGGGATCCTGAGGGGCGCAGGCCCAGCTGTGCCCGCAGGGGTCGGGCGGGAAGCACGGGTGTGGTCTCGCCTGTGCGGAAACTCCCGAGCCAGTGTCCAGTGGGAGCCCTCACCTCGCACGTGGGTTTCAAGTCCACGGCTCAGATCACCTTCTAGCCTCTTGGTTTGTTTTCTAGACACAAAGTCCCAATATCTCCTATGCCCCCTGCCCGTGAAAAGGCACGTCTCACCTGGCACCAGGTGCTGCCTCTGGTCCCGCCTGACTGGACGCCCAGCAGCCAGTGTCACCGCGTCACGACTGTCAGGGGGGTGTCAGGCGTGGGGGGACGAGAGCACACGGTCCAGGCCCACAAGCGGCTGTGCCGTCCACGGGGCCGGTGTTGTGGCTGTAGGTGTTCCCTCCCCACCCCGCGGGCAGAGACCACCGTCCCCTTACAGACTGTTACCAGGTGAAGTCATGGGCACCCTGCTCGGGCCCCAGCCTGCGAGGCGCTCTGCACCAGCGGGGAAGGTTTCCTTTTTCCATGTGGGTTCAAGTAGGCAAATAACAGAACCAAAGCCGAGACCAACACAGCACAGGCTCTACTCAGTGGCCAAAGAGTGGAGAAGCGGGAACTGAGCTCACAGATCGCCTTCTCGCCCTCCTGGAGAGAGAGGTTTAATTTTAAAGAATAAAGACAAAGGGAGGAGCAGTGAGGCTAGTGATGGGATGAAGAGGCCTTCCGGGGAAGGGGCGGGGCTTCTTCCAAGGGGCTGGGGTACCACCTCCTTTTACCCGTTTCTGGTCCTTCATGTCCAGCCATGGCCGCCGGTAGTTGTGTCACCTAATATGCCGATATAGTAAATTCAACTCGTGATGAGACTCGGGGTCGGTTGGAGGTCACACTCGTTGCCATCCTGGTCCCAGCTGGTTCCATCTGTTTGTTTGTTTGTAGCGTCCTTTCTTACCTCTGGACCCCTTCACTTAAATACTTAGGGGAACTCCTGCTGAAGGTAGGGGTGCAGGACAGCCCTGTGAAAGGTGGGTGCACGGGGCTTGAGCAGGGCCGGGAGCAGCTCTGACAACAACAGGAGGCTGAGACGGGCGGTCAGTCTGACGCCCGCACTGGGGCCTGTGGTCAACATGAAGAGGGGGTCAGCTGGGGACACATGTCAGGGAAGGTTCTCGGTGTTTACACAGAAGATGTGAACGTGGGCCCAGATGCAGAGCTGCCTGCAGACGCTGCTACAGAAACCCCTGATTCTTTCCTCAGAAAACTGGTGGGTGGTCATTCAGGCAACAGGGCAAACAGCTTGCTCTGGAGGCTCTTGTGCGGAAGTGGGGGCACAGCAACAGGGGCTCAGCCTGCATAACCCCAGAAGCCCTCCCAGGACAGCTCCAGAACCACTTCTGGAATGGCAAGGAGAAGTGGGTCTTCCACCTACTAGACGTGGAGGAGAGGGCTGCGGTCTGCAGGGCCACCCTGACCTTCAGGTATCGGCTGGGAGGCTCACAGGACCCGGCACATGCTTGTGGCTTTTGTCCTTACAGCTGAGATGGGTCACAGCACGCAGTAGGGATACACGGGAAGGAGGGCCCCTGCTCCGGTCACCTCGTGACCCTTCATGCCCCCTCCTTCCCTCGAGGGTCTCTAGGGTGTCTCTTCCCCCAGCAGCAAGGGCAGAACCATTACAGTTACCCCCGCCCCCATCCCCCCAGGGAAGCTCATTAGAGGCTTGGTACCCGGCTGGGGGCTGGTCACGTGGTGTGTTCTGCCCTCACGCTCCAAAATGCCGGTGCCCAGAAGGGGAGCCGGGGTTCAGCATGAGCCACATGATTTGTGCACACAGCACAGGCGCAGGGGGCTGCCCCTAATGGGAGGCGGGAGGGTTTAGATCAGGGCAGGGAGCTGCTCACCAGCTGCATTAGCTTCCCGGGACAGCTGTGACAAACGACCACAAACGGAGGCTCAGAGCAATAGAAACCTGTCCTCTCTCAGTCCCGGAGACCAGACGTCTGAGGTCAAGGTGTCCCAGGCCCGCGCTCCCTCCAGAGGCTCCAGGGGAGGGTCCTTCCCACCTCTTCCAGCTTCTGGGGGCTCCAGGCGTCCCTGGGCTTGTGGCCTCATCCCTCCTGTCTCTGCCTCCATCTTCACATGGTGTCTCCTGTGTGTCTGTGTCTCTCCTCTAGTCTCTTAGAAGGACACTGTCACTGATTCAGGGCCACCCGGATCCAGGATGACCTCATCTCCTGATCCATAACTAATTATACCTGCAGAGACCCTACTTCCAAGTAAGGTTCTTTTCTCAGATTCTGGGAGCCATGACGCGGACATAACTTTTGGGGGGACCTCCCCATTCAACCCACCATAGCACCCAGTTCCCAGATGCCAGCCGACCTTCCTCAGGACAGCATCAGGCTGGTGATGTTCTGTCTTTCTGCATGGAGTTGTCTCTTGTTCCTTGTGGTAACAGTGAGGTTGGGTGGGGAGCACTTCTGGCTGACCTCCAGGTCATTCCAGGGACCACGCTGATGTGTCCTTCCCAGGAGGGTGCGAGCACGGCCAGGGCTCCCTAGGAATACTCCACACAGACCTCTCGGTGGTCAGACACCTGCATGGGCTGGACCGGTCCCTGGCACCTTCTAACACATCCACAGCCTGGTGGACTCTGTGCGGGCCTATGACCAGGAGGTGTGGACCGGCAGGATCGGTGGGAGCCCTCCTGCCTGCCATGTGGCCTCCAGCCCACCACAGACCCTCCAGTCCTGCCATGGACATCCCCATCACATTAACCCCCAAGAGGCCTTCTGGGAGGGGTGAGAACTTGACCATGAAGAAGACAGGGCAGGCCCTAACTGCAGCAGGTGGAGGCAAGTACTGGGGGTGCTTGGCTATTTGTCCCCCAAAGACCCCGAATGTGGGCTCTGACTTGATGGGTCCACCTCCACCTGGGCTCACCTGGGGGGTCGCTGCAGGGATAGTGCATCCTTGGGTGATTTCCAACTCTCCCCACATCAGCCTCACTCCCTGGGCCCCCCTGGTCCCATTAATAGTCTTTAAATAGTGTCTCTCACCCAACAGGCCTGCGTGGGAGATTTTAATATCGTGTGGGAGTCCAGTGACCAGCGCCCATGTGTCCTGTGTGTCTTGGGAGGGGAGGGAGCCTCGCTCTCACATTCCTGCCCCAGTGCACCTGGGTTCGGGCGCAGCAGACCCAGGCTCTGTCCCGGCAGAAGCTCCCTTTCTGTGAACAGGTCTTCCCCGACTCCTGTTATCCTCCCTGGAGACTCAGGAGGCCACAGCATCGGGGCACCTCCAGCACCAGGACCCCACCCTAGGGAATCTCTCAAGAGCAGGGACCAGGCCTGGAGGTGGAGGGGAGGAGGGAGCCGGCCGCTTCAGGATCCCTGGGGGCTAGGAAGCCTCCTACGCAGGAGGGCCTTGGACTCAGCTTAACTACCACCCAGGGTCTCCTACCCCTCCCCTGGTAGGGGGGCCCTTCAGATTCCAGAGCCCCAAGATCCTCCCCACCGACTTCTGACCCCAACTGCAGAGTTGGGGACCCAGAGACCCCCTCCCCAGCTTATTTTTTCCTGGAGGCTCCCAGAATTCCCTGAAGCTGTTATACCCAGGGTTTATTATGGTGAAGGATGCAAGTTAAAATCAGCGAGGACAGGGGGACGAGCAGGGTCTAGCCTCCTCGGCTGTGGCAGCCCAGGGAAGCCCACCTGAGTCCTGAAGTGCAGGGTTTATTGGGGTCTGTCACATCAATGTGGGACCACCATGTGCCTGACCTTAGCCTCCAGCCCCCGGGGGGGACTCAGGAAGTCCCACCGTGCATCACGCCGTCAGCACAGACCAGCCTGGAGCGAGGCCCACGGAGCACGGACACTCCTGTCAGACTCAAGGTGACCTCTGGAGCCAGGACAGAGGCCCGGCCTCTCTGTGGGCAGGTGAACCCACACCGCACAGGCCCCGGTGCAGTGCCCGTTCCGTGGGGTCAGCTGGGTGCACGCAGGTCAGCCTGTGTCTGTGTGTCTCAGCCTGTGACCACAGACCACACTGTCCTGCTCTGCTCACAAGAGCGAGGCCAATGGAGGGACAACAGGGGTGGGAACAAAGCCGGGTCACGGTCCGGCTGGGTGAGAAAGGGTCCAAGGAGCAAGAACCCGGCTGCCCTCGCCTGGTGAGCCGAGAGCTGACGTCCACCCTGTGGGCAGCCCCTCTCCCCACGTCCCGAGGTAAGACTGCCTTTCCTGCACCCTGGGCAGTGTCATGCCTGTGTATAGAGACGGACGCACAGCAGTGCACGCAGCAGGCCTGATGCCTGCCCTTGCCATGTATTTGGGGGCTTGGTGAGGGTGGAACATCGCGACAGGACAGGGGCTGACCCCGGGGAGGATGTAGGGGTGAAGCGTTTGGGAGCCTCTGGTGGGGATCCTCACCTGTCTGCACAGGTGGACTGAGGACACAGACCAAGGGTGGGCAGGCGGGGAGCCCAGGAAGGGTCCTGGGTCATCCCTGAGGCTGGAGGAGGGGTGTGGAGCTGGGGGTGACGGCGGTGGGGACGAGGGGCTGATCACAGGACAGTGCGGAGACAGAGCATCCGAGGCAGCGGGGAAGGTGAAGACTGTGCCCGATGGCAGGACGGAGAGACCAGCAGGCGGCGCTGCAGGCGCGGGTAGCAGGGCTGCTCCCTGCAGGGCAGCGCCAGAGCCCCGCACCGCTGGAAACCACGCAGTGTCCAGACAGAACCCCAGAGGATGGGGGCCCGGATGGGCGGGAAGAGTTTGGAAAAGTCACCTTATCTCCACATGTCCTGGGGGAGGGGTCCCTGCTCCAGCCTC